CAGTAGCGATGTTGCATTCCAGCTGACCAGTTTAGAAAATACAAATGCTTTTCCGCCCCAAGCAGTGAATGCTGTAACAACTCCCTTCCTAACAGTTGATACATTACCACGTGTAGCTACTCCTGCAGACAGCCGTATTTCTTCAAGTGTTTTTGAAGGAAGTGAGTCTGCCAGTGTCTCTTCAAGTTCCACACTTGGTTTTGATCCTGTTCACATGCCTGCAGTTGTTTCTGATTCTGATGTGTCCATTCGTCACCCTCCTCCTTTATCAAATGTACATATTTCTGTTACAGCTGTTCCTCCCAAAAGTGAGATCCCTGTAACTTTGAGTAGGTTGCTGGGTCTTTCTAGAGAATCCTCTGGGTTGTCTCCCAGTATCATGTCCAGTACCGATTTGTGGCCTTCTGTAGTTGAGGATGACTACGATGAATATGACGATGGCTTCCCTTTAAGTAACTGTATCTCATGCGCTTCCCATAGAGAAGCTCAGGATATGGTAGTAGAGGAACAAAATACAAAGGTAAACAATAACAAGGATCAGAGTAACCTAATTATAAGCTCACATTCTGAGAAACCTGAAGAAGAAGAGAAAGTTTCAACTGCTGCATCAGACAGTCAGATAAACCTTGCCATGAACAGACGTAATTATACATCAGTACCGACTTCGACAGCAAGTGCGCTACCTAAGAAGTACAACGACCCGACAGTTTTGGACAACCACGTTCAGACTGCTGGTGTCCCACTGCAAAACACATCAGAGTCTAAGTCTTGGGCTGTTTTTACAAGTGATGAAGAAAGTGGTTCTGGCCAAGGTACCTCAGATAGCCTTAATGATAATGAAACTTCAACAGATTTCAGTTTTCCCGACCTTAATGAGAGAGACACTGAAGGGGCAGTTGAAGCAGGTAACTCAGAATTAACTCCTGGATCATCACAGTCGTCAGCCTCATCTGTTACTAGCGATCACTCATCAGTATTCAACATCTCTGAGGCAGGTTAGTTATGGATAAATCTAATGAATACCATGGAAAGCTGTGAGGGGGTACTTTTGTGCCATAGAGAACGAGAAGGTTTATCTACATATAATAAAGGAGAACGTAACAGTGCCAGTGGGTGTGATTAAGGAATCATTGGGAAGCAGGGGATGCATGCTGAGCTGGCTATCTTGTGAATGCTACTTCTAGCTACTTAAAACTGCTCCTGAAATATTCTTCAGTAAGAAGATTCATGCTCTGCTATTGGATAGATGTGTACTGTCAGCAGAAGCTGGGTGGTGCACAGTCTAAAACCAGAATTTGTTTCAATGTTAACTGTTTGATTTTAGTTTTAAAGGTTTAAGAGGGATGCAAGTTCTCTGTACAAAGACAAGTGCTGCCCTTATGGAAACACACCAGAGGAAACCATGCCTCTGCCAGAGCAAACATACCTCCGAGAGTCTGATTTTTAACTTACAGCAGCACATTTCCTCCTTGTGTTTTGCTTTGTATTTTCTAAGATGTGTTGAGCAAGGAAGAAGATGCTTCAGTTTGATTCTGATTCGTCTTAACTCATAAAAGCATTTTCATTCTTATTCAGTATGCCACCTTCAAATTTCAGTGAGTTGCAGATGTTTTGTGCCAGATTTGCATATTTCTAAAATACTAGAGCCAGTTTTCCTGTACCTGTTTATATTTAGTGCTATTTTCCTATTTAGTCCTCTTAAAGTCAGTGATAGCATTTGTGATCTTTGGTTCCAAGGATCAGGTCAGAAGGCAAAACTCAACTTCACCTGATGAATATAAAGCATTTCTTTTTCTAAAAATGCATTGTTGGAAAATTTGAAGTGTTCAGACACATAATGTGCATTGCCTGTTGTTAGAGTGTTGAAAAATACAAGAGTTAAGTCAGAAACAATAACTGATGTTTGGAAAAAAACACAACCCAACAACCAAGATTAAATTGATATTTTAGAAAATAAATTGAATTTCCATTAAGTACTCACAGCATCTGTAGAGGGCAGTATCATCCAGCTAAATCCACTAAGGAATGGAATCCACAAAGCATGTGAAATTTTCACCACATTTCTACAAATACACAATTAAATCACATGAGGTCGTATTACTCATGAGAAACAGAATACTAATATGAAGAAGTGGTAGATTGAGACTCTGCGTAGCTGGGGCTAATGAAATATGAAAAATAGAAAATAAAAGGAAATAGAAAACATACTGAAATAAAGTAGGAAACATACTGAAATTAATAGGAGTCCTAACAAGGTAGGTGTTATAAAACTAAAGTGAATTAGTTCAGTAGGTAAGTAGTATATTATGGAAAATGCATAACATTTCTTTAAAATCAGTAAAAAGAACATCAGTATTTCAAAATTTATATTACTAATGTGAATGAGTATCACTGTAAGAGATTTATAGTTTGCATAGTGAGCGTCATTTGAATTGTTACTGATAGTAATTCAGAAAGGATTATACATGACTGAAGGAGGAGGAGGAGGAGGAGTACAGCAGACTTAAACTTTGTCTTCTAAATATTATTGAAAGACACTATACAGTATCATTTCATGTACATTATTTTTTCCAATAAATGATGCCAAATATTGTCTTTTAATAAACGGAAAATTCAATGTGAGCATGTCTAACATGGTGTCCTGTAAATCAAAGACATCTTTGCTTTAATTCAATTATAAAGCAGTGAAACAAACAAAAAAAAAACCCTAAGCTGAGAACTTACTGATATATTACAGGGAATTCACCAGAAATTCATGAAAAGTCTTCTTGTTGTGACCATTACAGAAAGAATTGTAATTTAAACAGTTCCCAGTCTTTGTCGCTGTTAATGCCTGTTTATGCTTGTTCTGAACTAGGGCTTTCTCCGTAAGACCTCTGTGGCTACCTAAATCTTTCAATTTCTGTTGAACAAGTAAGAGAAATTAATATAAAGAAATATTCAAAGGATCCAAACACATCAATTATTAGGGAGCAAAGAAATCTGCTATAGATGAGGCTGTCTTTTCAGCTGCCATCAATGGAGGGATGGCCAAGTAGGCAAGCAACCCTGCCTTACAGGAGAAGCCTGCTCTTCATTTCCCATAGGACGAATGCATTTGGTCATGCAGTTTGAAGGAACCCTGTCATCACACAGTTAAGACTGGCTTTTACCCTCTGGATTAGTCCAGAGTTGGATAAGCAAGTACGAATGCCTCAAAGGGACCGTTTTCTGATCTGTCATTCATACATGTAGTTTCTTCTGAAATCAATAGGAAATGCTGATTTTTGCCTACTCGCCAGAAACCTGGGGACAGATATTTCAGAAGTAACTTGTGCCTGCAATCACTGTGCGCACTGAGCTACAGGATTTAAAGAGTAGTGATTGATTCGGGTGTTTGAGTACTTTAAACTAAAACCAAGAAGATGCTTGCAAGATCAGAGCCTAGACCTTTTACCATATAAAGCCCTGAAAGCCCCTAAACTCAAGAAAGTGGAAGCAGAGAGCTGCCTGGAAGTGTGTACTGTGTGAAGCTGTTTGGTTTTTGACATTGTATTTAGGACATGTGCTTTGTTCTCTTTTTTTTTGTTTCCCTCCAGATACAGCTCCATTCCCTCCTCCCTTTTGCCTGAAAGTTTTTTATTCATGTAGAACTGGTCCTTTGAGATCCCAGTGGAGTGCAGCTCATTTCTAGACGGCAAAATTTTGCTCCCAATCAGAACATTCATTGGATTAGGACTGTTCACAAAAGCATAAAACATTCTTAGAAAATCTAGGGGTTTAATTCTAAGAAGGGCAAAAGTGTTTATTTCTGTGTTTTAACTCATATAATGGTCACAGATCACAGTAAACTGCACAGATTGAAAAGAATTAGTCATTTAGCGTCAAAATCACAGTTTTAGAATGTTTATTTTTTGAGGTTTGACCAAAGTTAAAAATGCAATATTGGTGTTGTCCACTATTGTGTTCCTTTATTTTAATGGGATTATAAAATATATTGCTTTAATCTTCATACAGATTCCTGTGCCCAAATGTTTCTGTCATCCACCATTGCAAGGCTGACAGAAATGGAAAGTCTAGATAATATCTAAATAATAATTTGATCAACTGTTAAGATGGAAGTAGGAAATTTAATACTGGCTCCAGTATAGTTGGGGGAAGAAGTACTGCAATTGGATTCAGAGGAAGCAGGGTGTGTCTATAAGGCGAGTTACAGAATGGACAGTGTATTAAAATACAGAAGGCTGAAGTGCAATACAGCAAGCATATAGGCACTACTGTAAGAAAATTTTCCTATTAAACTATTAGTCAGAGAAGTGGTTTGCATTATAGGAGTGACAGATTCATATCAAAGTGTTCTTTACACATTCCAATATTATGTATTTAGATTCCTTAACTCGGCTTTCAGCTAATAAACAGGTGAAAATAAAAAGCTTTCTTCTCCTATATTTTAACAACAATCTGCTATTCTTACAAAGAAAATTCTCCACTGCTGGAAGGCTGAGTCACATAAGCTTGAACACTTTGCTTTACCCGCTGTCTGCTTATTTTCTGTAAGCTGGTTTGCAAATGTATACACTTTCTGCAGTACGTAGTAAAAATTAGAGGTAAGTGGTATTAAATAGGATCGCTATAAGACACATTCACTCATGCTGTGCATTTGTCAGTATTTAAACATGGACTGTTTCAATTTTCTCTGACTGCAGAGGCAAGTAATAGTAGCCATGAGTCTCGTATTGGTCTAGCTGAGAGTCTGGAATCAGAGAAGAAGACAGTTGTACCACTTGTGGTCGTATCAGCCCTGACTTTTATCTGTCTAGTGATTCTTGTGGGTATTCTCATATACTGGAGGTAAGTTGTTTTTTGGTTGGTTGTTTTTTTTTTTCAGTTTTAAAGAGCTCTGATTTGAAAAATGTGATTGACGTTATTGAGCTGGTTTACAGGAGGGAGGCTGGATCTTGTCTCTCACCGTGTCTTTGTATTGTTCCCATTGCTGCAGTGACACAAAGCTGACAAAATACGGTGATTTCAGTCCAAAATGCTCAACTACAATCCTTTGTGGTTGTAGAGGATTGAACCACTGCAAATAGTTTATTTCCATTTTGAGATATTTTAGTAAACTTAATTGTGATTATTAATACCTAGAGGACAAGTGACTTAACACTGCGAATAACAGGAGGGAGAATAAAAATAAATAGCATGGCATGGGTTTGTTTCCCAATTCTTTAACAGTTTCCAGTCCTTTAACAGTTAAAAAAAGGTAGTTGTCAATTTAGGATGAGAATATGGTCCTCATCAGGACCATGTGAATGAGCAATTCATATCGGACTGTAGGAGTGTACTGTAGCTCACATTATATGCAAGACAGAAATGGGGTAGTTTAATAATAGTATAATAGTATAACAGTATAAATGTTTTAAGATCACTTACTGAGTAGCTCATGTGATGTTCTAGGGTTAAAACGTTGTTCTACTTTGTTATGGTTAGAACGTTGTTCTGCTTCGTGATTCTGCCCATCTCCGAACCAAAATTTGCCCCCCAGCCTTTCAAACCTTTCACTAACTAAGGATGTGTTTCATGTGCACACATGTCCTCAGCTTCCCTCATGAGCCTGTTTCTCTGTGACTGATAAGTTGATAAGACATTAAGAAAAAAAATTTGGCTGAAGAGAAGTGACAGCTGTAAAAAGTCATGATGTTATAATCAGTGAGGGCAAAGGACTACCTATAGTGTGAAATAAGACAGACCAGCTGGCGTGGCACAGATCTCTGCCCCCTCACAGGGGGCAAAAACCAGAGTGGCTGCATTCACATCACCTTCTGGGGATGGTCTCTGCCCTGTGCTAACCCCAAACTGTGTCAAGCACTGAGTGAAAGAATGCAAGTTGGCCTGAGCGAAAAGCATACTGGGAATCTTGTTAGCCATGTGACAGTATGTGGCAGTCCTCAAGCCTTTGTCTGTCTCTGTTTCATTGGTTCTAGATAAAGCCAGGGAGTCTTCCTAGGGACAGATCTACATAAGCTTTCATAGAGCTTTCAAAATCCACACACGACCTTAACCCTTCCTCGAGTGTGCATATTGTCAGGGAGGAAATGTAGTGGACCAGAAGGGGGAAATACGTTGCAAAAACTTCCTGCCGTGAAGATTCTTGGTGGTTGGTGATTGACGGGAACCTGATCCTGTAATTGTACTATACTCAGAAGGGGAGGTGATCATGCTCCTGTACTCAGCACTGGTGAGGCCACACCTCAAGTACTGTGTTCAGTTTTGGGCCCCTCACTACAAGAAGGACATTGAGGTACTGGAGCGTATCCAGAGAAGAGCAATGAGGCTGGTGATGAGTCCAGAGAACAAGTCTTATGAGGATCAGCTGAGGAAACTGGGGCTGTTTAGTTTGGAGAAGAAGAGGCTGAGGGGAGACCTTATTGCTCTAGGAGGTTGTAGTGAGGTGGGTGTTGGTCTCTTCTCCCAAGTAACTAGCGATAGGACAGGAGGCAATGGCCTCAAGTAGTGTCAGAGGAGGCTTAGATCGAATATTAGGAAAAATTTCTTTACTGGAAGAGTGGTCAGGCATTGGAACAGGGTGCCCAGGGAAGTGGTGGAGTCACCATCCCTGGAGGTGTTCAAAAAACATGTAGATATGGTACTTCAGGGCATAGTTTGGCAGGCATGGTGGTGTTGGGTTGATAGTTGGACTTGATGATCTTAGAAGTCTTTTCCAACTTTAGTGATTCTATGATTCTGTGATTGTGTGATTGCTTGTGTAATACTAACACATAAACTAGCAGCAAGAAACAGGACCTTGCTCTTCCAGGAGCTGTATGAACAAGGCAAAAGGCAGGCCCAGACATCTCACAGATGCTTCCAGAGGTTGTTTCTTCTTCCCCCACCCCCCCACCCCCCGTTAATCAAAACTGTATAAAAGTGGCAAAGAACCAGGAACTGGAGGGCAGACTGCCCTTTCCAAGCTACCAACTGCTGTAATCTTGAGGCTATGGTGTCAGGGTTGTGCTTACTGACTTTTCTTCTAGTCTCCTGACACTCGTTTTTTGTCAGCCCAGCAGGGTATGTCCCACATGGACATCTTCTTCTTCTTTCCAGAGAAGTAAATTGCAGGAAGGATTGCACAACTCGTTTCTTAGTTTCTGTCTAGTTCAATAATTATGCTGTCCATCACAGGATTTCCAGCAGACCATTTTCATACTGAGAACGTTTTCCTGTCTTTCATGTTACGCAACATGAACGTTCATAATCATTTTCCAAAGGGTTTCATCCCTGAAGCTAAATAGTATTTGAAATCTCTTCTATTTGCCAAAGATCACCGTCAATTTTAAGACCCAGATTGTACAGTGCAGTTGTAGTAATCCTACAGGTTACAAGCTTGTTTTTGTCGAATAACATTGTGTTCATCTTGTGTTCTTTCTCTGGGCATGAACAATTCTATAACATAGGTCTTTCAAAATAAAACAAAAATCCCGTTAGTAATATCTTCTTGACTTGAATTTAATCTTTTCTGTATTTCTTGTGTACTACAAAATAAAATATGGAGCTCTTTTTTTGTTAATCCTCAAGAAAATTTTCTTGGCATTATGAAAACACCAGTAACATGTTTCTTATTTCAGAGGAATGAAACAGAAAGAGTTTGTATTGTGGGTAGGACTTTGTGACCTGCTTTCAAAGGTGCCAATACCTTCATCTCTTTTTAAAACCTGTGAAAAATAAGAACAACAGCTTTATTGCTATGCAGGGTTTTCTATGCCTGGAAAATACTAGTATAAAGTCTGTAAGCATTTTTATGGTTCCATTTAGTTTATTTTGAAAGAAGTGATTGAAGCTGTCTTTGTTTCTTTCTATAATGCTTTTTCTATGTGGGCCAATTATTCTCACTCATTAAAGTTCATTAAAAGTTTAGGCTTGTAGAAGTTATTCTATATTGCTTTGGCAACAGTACTCAAAATATTGTATTGGTATATACTATCTGGGTATTTGAGTGAATAGTGCTTTGAGTTGTTTCCGCTGCTGGCTTCTAATTTGAAGATGCAAAATGTGTGTTATTTGGTTTAAAAAACAAGTAACTACCAAAAGTGACAAGTTTCAGTTTCTCAAGGTTAAAAAAAGGCAAAATGATTTTGTTCTTCACTTGAATGACTTGTATCAGAAAAATAATTCTGTACCATCTGTTGTTTGGGTTTGGGTTTTTTTTTTTTACAATAAATTGTTAATCAGCACTTGAGGAAATTCCCCAATCTCTTCAGTATCTGATTAGGCACAATTTCAATCTTTCTGTGATAAAATATTCATTTCTGTGACAGGGATGATAACTTTTAATGGCAATATTGTCTAAAGATTTTCTAATTGCCAGTAGGAAAATATGCAATTTTGAACTATTCTAGTTCTGTGTATCAAATCTTTTGCAATTCAAGCAATTTTTAAGCAGTGTCATTTTCCTTTCATTTCTTCAGCGTGATTAAGATTACAGTGGCATAAACAAGGAGATTCTTTTGCCTGTTTAATGGCCTTGTCGTCCACACAGATTTTCTTACAGCTTTAGAGAGAATTTTCTATACAAATCTAGAGTCTATCCATCTCTGTCAATATCTATTTATTTGACAGAATCCTGCTGCAGAGATGCAACAGGGTTATTTGTATCTCCTTGCTCTCTTCTGGATGGCCTCATCGTTCCCATTTTGCTGAATTAACCTTATCTGTTAAAGTGACTGAAATTGAAAGTTCCTCTGTGCTGACATATAATATACTGGAAATTGCTTATGCGTGTGTGTACTCTTTTGGAACGGTTCATAGAAGTGATCAGTGAAAACAAACCTGATGAACTGGTGTATAGGAAGAAATGCCAGGCTATTTGTGCAGATCAGTTTTTATGATGGTTATCATACAAAGAGCTTGGGAAACAGTAACGTGGTAACAGTTATCAGTGGGAGTTGCACTGCTCAAGATTCTTTTTCGACAAATGCATATATGAATCTCAGTAAGAGACTATAATAATGTGAACAGCAAACTGCTAATGCAGTTCCAGCTATCTGTAGACATACTGAATATCAGCTGGCTACCATGAAGCCTCCTAGAAATTACATGACAGCAGTGCTTCAGAAAAGACCAATCCAATGACAGACAACGCCCTGAGAAGTCATTTAAATTTTTACTTTCTGCTACCACTCTATATCTTTGAAACACAGCTGAAACACAGAGAATGTTCATTTTCTTAGCCATGATTTGAACTGATGCCTTGAGTCCTCCGTTAGGTTTATGGAAACAGACTTGAGAAAAGGATAGCTAAACTTGCACGTGCGGAGACACCCTAAAAACAGATTTAAGCTTAGAAAGGCCATGCTCATCCATCCTTGAAGGAAAACCTTCTTAATTATGTAATATCAAATTGTAAATAAAAGAGTTAATAAAATTTGAAAATTAAAATTTCATCTGACAAGCACTTAAAATTGATTGGAACCATTAAAAAATTGAATCATTGGATGCATTGAGGATGCATTTAAAGATCTTTGAAACCACCAGATCTTTGAAAGATTGGAACCATTTAAAAATAAATTCTATCAAGTGTTTGAGAATCCCTATTGGGAGATACCCTGTGAGCACAAAACACCCTGCTATTTGCAGAGAAAGACATAATCGTGCCTCTAAGACCGTTCTGTGCTAGCAGTGGCTGCGCAAACCCAACCTGTCACAGATGCCTCTGACTTCTGAGGTTCAGCTCCCTTCCTCAACTTCTACGAGCGGTGATGCCACGCACACACACACGCTCCCGCAGCAATGCCACGCACATGCGAGCACTCCCGCGGTGGTGCCGCGCACACGCAAGCACTCCCGCTCGCACAGCGCCATTTTGTGTTGCCCGCCTCAGTGACCATCCGAGTCAAGCTCTGAGCAGTCCCTGCCCCAGGGGAGAAGTAGGCAGCACGTATCCGCAGCCAAGGTCTGGGGCCCCACATGCCAGAAAAGCAGTGTCCTCAGGAGTCTGAGGCACAGTCTTGTCCCAAGTAGTTCACATTTAAATGGTCATTCAGATCTAGCATCCCTCCTGGTAAACCAAAGAGCTGCTGCTGCGTGCTTTCCTGTACAGATACAGACACTAATTAATTCAATGGCTTAGCCCTATCTCCATATATAAAGTCTGTGTTCGAAGAAGTGCAGTGTCTAAATTACAAATTACAGTTTTAGGTTGAAGATCTAAATGCTGTGATGAAAGGTGTAAATTAAATAATCAGGTTAACGTTGAGTGACGGGACCTTTGTCTGGAAGTTTGAAATAGTCATCCCTTTTTTCATTAACAACAAGTGATAATTAACGAGACATGGTTATTAACATTAGGTTTAGTCATGAAGGCTTTCACTGCTGATGCAGAAGCAGATGGAGTGCCTATTTATGAGTCTTATTACAGGTTAAGTCAACTGCTATGAATTTGTCTCCCAAATGTGCTAAGGGTGTAATTTATTTTCAGCCACAATTAACTTGTTAAAGATTAAAGATACAGTGGCTCAGTAAGGGATAGTGAATGTGTGGCATATTACGAGGACATTTTAAGTACTGCTTTAGATGTGAAAGCCATTATGCTAATTAAATTCGTTTTAGCTCAATCTTTTCTCAAGCAAGGAGGTGACAAAACTCTGTGATGTTAGTCCATAAACTTGATATATGAACATAGTTCATAAGCAGTAGGCATTAGGGAGGGGATGCTTTTTGGGTCTAGAGCTTTAATCGTAGAATCATAGAGTCATAGAATGATTTACGTTGGAAGGGACCTTTAAAGGTCATCCAGTCTACCCTCCCTGCAGTAAGCAAGGACATCTTCAACTAGATCAGATTCTCAGAGCCCCGTCCAACCCGACCTTGAATGTTTCCACGGATGGGGCATCTACCACCTCTCTGGGCAACCTGTGCCAGTCAGGCTGGTTGGCGTGTTTGGTTGGTGGGTGCTGTTTTTAATAAACACAGTACATCAGCATTCTTGGCGCCCAGCAGGCAGGGCCAGACTTTCCAAAAGTGTTTAGTGATTTGAAGTACTTTGATACTTGCCTACCTCTTACAGACATTTTGCACATAGTCCTGAGACCAACTCTTGAGTATTATGGCTAGCATTGAGACAGCCTCTCTCACTTCAGCAGCCGCTAACTCTATGGGGTGCTAATGTTAAAAATCAGAAAGATGTTCCCAAGCACATCCCAAATGTGTTCTTGGTCTGCATCCAGAACTGCTATTACTAAGGATAACCGAGAGGGACAGTCTTTCTCGAAACACGTCGTGCAAAGCCAGCGCTCCTCTATGACCATTACAAAAATGCTTTTAGAGGATTCTAGCTGGACTCTGAATTTAATTGTCATGTGAATTACCAGAAATATTTTGCATTCCACAATTTTCCCTTTGATGTAGCTGTCCACTTGTGGTTTAAGAGACTCTGCATTGTACGCAGACAGAGAATTCCCAACACATTCTGAGAGTATGGGCATGTTTCCCAGAGACTTAATTCAAATAAGCTTACCAAAGTGTTTATGATCTACATTAATGGTTCTGGAAAGAATTATAATATCCACATATTCCCTATCTATTTCTCAAAATAGCCTCAAAGTTTCATTTTGATTATAACGATTATATGAGGAGTTTTATCCATGCAGTGGTACAGGAACAGTACAGAGGAATTTGAAACACCAGAGATTACACAAAATAGCAAAAGATCATATAATAGCTTCATCCAAAAGCTCTAAAGAAGCAGAATCTTATAAATATAAAATGAGATTAATATTTTTGTGATGCATTATTTCTTTTTAAATTTAATGATTAGTGAATAATATTTCAAATAGATTAAGTGACCTGGAGTAAAGATTCCTATTAGCATGTCTAATCATATGGAGATTTTTTAATTAAGGAGGCTTTTCAGTGCTTACAGCAGCAGTTGGTTGATTAGTGCATTGAATAGCTTGGACTCTTAACAGACGCTGTTCTTATTATCTTCACATCTGGATTACAGCACAGATACAGATAACATTGTGGGTCATAGTTAAGGTTGATTCCATTTGTATTCATCCTTCTGTGTTTTTGCAACAAAGCTAGCATCTCCTGGATTTATAATTCCCCTATTTCTGTCTGTCAACTTCAGGAAGTCCGCCTTGGTTAAGGTGTCCCTCAGTGCTGCAGTTACGGTACGAAAGAATCGTTTAGCCTCAGTCACAGCAGTTCCAGAGCCACCGTCTTGTCTGTCACAGGGCATGTTGCCTTTTCTTGCAGTTCCATGTCTGCAGTAGGATCTATCAATGAATTACCAGAACTGATCTTGTACACTGCTCCGTCTTCAGGCTAGCATAACAACATGAAAGGGAACAGTAATTATGTGTGCGAACTTGGATAAGCAAGGAAGACAATAGCATTTTTTATCCTTGGAGTTCTTGTGTAGCGTCTAGAGTGTCTCCTGACACAGAGTTCCTCTTCCAGCTTTCGCTATGTCTGATGTGTGCTGCATCTTCTGCCTCTGGCATAGGTAAAGGTGCATGAACTATGTATTATGCTAAGTTAATGCTGTATCTTCAAGTTGTATGCATAACTTAGTGGTGTGTTGGGGGAATATTTATATTATACCAGTAGTATTTGACACTCCATGAAAAGAGGTTTTCAAAACCCTGATTTCTTTCTTACTCAATAATTCCAGAATTCCAAAAGGTCTCAGATAATGTTTTATTTTTTGCAATGTTTATTTATGTTTCCTCCCCCCTAGGAAATGTTTCCAGACTGCTCACTTTTATTTAGAAGATAATACATCGCCTCGAGTGATTTCTGCTCCCCCAGCTCCAATCTTCCCAGTCTCAGGTACTTTATGTCAACTGTTCTGTAGGTTGGTGTTTGCTGTTGGAAGATGCTGCCTTGTATGTGTCCATATGAATTCTTCACGTACTGTAACATCTGTAAACCAGAGATTTGTACACTCTTGTACTAATAAACACAGGTGCACTTGACAGAGGGAGAGACTAGTGTTACTAACATTCTCTCTTATAGTTAACGCAGAAGAGAAATATGCTCATCTTACAGAGTTGTCTCAAAGATACGCTGTGCCTTCCAGCCATTTGAGGTGTAGCCTCACTAGAAATGGCTGCTAGCGTAGCCATCTGAGCTACACTAAATAGCTCTAGTTCACTGTCACGAAGCAGAGGATTACACCAGCAACATATTCACCTGTATTTCTGCCTTGAATTTTTCGCCTAGGCATAGAACATGACCTGTTCTTTTTACCAGCAGGACCAAGATATGCCTCATCTATCTGCGTTTCATTTGCAATTACAGCATTTTCTTTGACTTACAGATTTCACTAACATAGTTACTACTGCTACAGTTCTCTGTGAGCTGCTCATGAAAATGATGCACAAGTGCAGAATATTATTAGCATCTTCTGGTTCCATATCCACCACCGTTATTTACAGAAACTGTTTCTTTTCTTTCCTCCTTGAAGAGTATCAGAGGAGCATGTTCAGCCCTCCCAGCTTTTTCAGTCTCAGTAGAATGAAAAGTACCTTAAATAGATTAACTCTGCAGCAGATCCCAAGCCACGTTTTCACCCACAAGAAAAGGATATCTTGTTCCACAAGTAATGCTTTTGCAGACTGTGCTGTTGCACAGGGGGATGGGTTCCCTTGGAATGACTAAGGGAAGCAGAGTCAGCCCTTGTGTAGATGACTAGTAAACACATTTAATTAAAGAAATCCCAAACATTAGACTTGCGTTGTAATGGAATTGTAGGCATCTTTAAATGCCTCTTGGATTGATTGCTATTGTTACGAGACACATAACCTTTTTCTAAATGGTTAATAGGCAGGGATATAGCTTGATTTCGGAAAATATGTGATTATATATGAATGTCAAGTGGCAATCATTACAGGAAATCTCTGCTTTTACTCTCTATCATTAACTATATTGCAGTACAATTGTTTAATTTTCTTGCAGCTTTTCCTGACCAGGTCACCTGAGGGAGATAGGGTTTTCCATTGTCATAAGACAGAATTGCACTTACAGTTACTCTGAGTGCTTAAAATACGTGTTTTGATGCTGGAGGTTTTCCTCCCAGAATACTGATAAATATTAACTCAAAAGTGTGTCTAAGTGACTGAAAGATACATAAAATATTTTATGGAAAAAGATGCAAGCAGTGAGGAAATATTTTTGTTTCATTTTGTGTGCAACAGACTTCAAGTGAGCAAACACAAATGTTTCAGCAGTGTAATTTTGCAACAATTGAGACTAACTGTGATATAATACTGGCAAAGAGTGTAGAGCAGGAAGAGCATTTTGTAACTGCAAAGTTTAATTTTTTATTATGACTATGACTAAAAGCACTCCACAGATCTCATTATCTGTTAGGTTTTCCTTTTGTGGGGTTTCATTGACAGCAATAGCAGAATTGCAGTTATTCACAGAAAATGCCCTGGCACTTCACAGCATAAATCAAAGATGCATTCAGAACTAATAATGAATTACAGGGTAATATTAGGACCCACTATCAACCTTTAAATAGTTTCAAGTGATACCTGCCATCCAGATATAAAATATATTCCTGGAGTCAGAAGTGATTGAATTGGGAGATTAGCACTGACAATGAAATAAGACAATAATTACGTCAAACCTGAGATCTCTTTCTCCCTTACTGTCCTCCCTTTTAGGGTCACTTACTTTCCCTTCTGGTTTTGTGTTTGCATATCATTAGAATAAACACTTTATGCCAGGTTTCATCTCCAAAGTGTGAAGATAGTGTTACACATTTGTTCAGCTGCTCTTAGGCTTGACTGAATAAATTCACTTTATATATTCAGATCCATTCATGTAAGTGGAAGACCAGATGGATCTCAATACAAATCAACAAATTCTTGGTAACCGAAAGCTAAAATTATTAGGTGGCCTAAATGCTGAACATCTGTTGATGTAAGTAACAGGTCCCTGTTCCATATTTCTGATGTGTCTTTCTCATATGAAACAGTGATGAAATTACAAATTGTGAAATAAACATACTTTCAATCCATGAAAGGCTTTAAAAAAAAAAAAAAAAGAAATTATTCTTCAGAACCAAAACTAGCTGAAATAATGTCATCCTTTAGCAGGTAATTAACAAAACAGATGACTTTGTTTACATAGCGTATTTGCATGAAAGAGAATATTAAAAGTCCCAAAGGTTTTTGACATGATCCCTAATGAATGTTCTACACAAGAATGTTTTTCTGTATTTGTATAAAGTAAAAAGGATATGTCCTGAAATATAAACATCAGATGGAAAATTCAGACTCAGTATCAGGACCCGGAAGTTGCAAGAATCACGTTTATTGGTTGAGAATGTAAATATTGCCTTTGTGGGTATCCAGAAACTCTTAAATCTTTCACTTAAAACTTGAATTATAAATCCTGATGTGAAAGTTTGCAGTCAGTACTCCCGGGATTAAGCATAAGATTATTCTCAATAGGTAATCATAGAATCATGGGGAGAATGGGGCAAAATATCCCTACTGGAAGTACTCACTGATGCAGTAAAAGATGAACATTAGTTGTTGTTTCCTTTAGATACCAATGCAAACATACAACACATCAACTAAAATCATACTACCGGCATAATGCTGCATTAATTTAGTAGGTTGGGACTACGCGGCCAGTCCATGTACTGCGTCAGAGTCGCAGTGCAACATTAATCAGTCTCAGGTACCCGGACTCCTCTGCCTGATGGTGCTTTCTTTACCAGTGTAGTTCAGGGCCCCGCTCCTGCCCTCTCCCACTGAACATCTTGTAGCAAACTGCTAATCCTCCCAGTTCACCTGGACTTCACAGGTAGTTCTGAGCACTCTTCAGTTTACAGACAAGCTCAGCATCTTGCAGAGTCAGCACCTTGATTTTGGGGCCTTAAAGACAGAGCGAGACCTGGCTAGGCATTTTCTATATCTTCCTTCAGAATTGCAGTTTAGAAATGTCGAAGTGTTAGAAAATGATTTGAGGAACATTGACGGTGTTAAAGAGTTTTTATTTTTTTGGGAGTTGTATATGCAAAGTTCATGCCAAAAGTTTTATTTCAGGATGTTGTGTGGATTGCCTACGTATAGACTTCTTTATATGTCACTGGCTTTTTGTTCTTCATGAAAATATTTTTTGTCTTTTCCCACCCCTAAGATGATGTTGGAGCAATTCCAATAAAGCATTTTCCAAAACATGTTGCAGATTTACATGCAAGTAATGGTTTTTCTGAAGAATTTGAGGTATGGCTCTATGACGTCATCTTCCTTCTTAGCACATACAAATAACGTTAAGTTTAAATGCCTGGAAACAAAGAACTGGGCATTACATTCTGGCTTGGGCACCAGTTTCATAAATGCATGTAAATATGAGTACTGTGAGCCCAGTAAGGACTGTTTGTGCATAAAGGCTGGGGAGATTTATAAAAGCTAATGGGACTGGGACGCAAAGGGGAATGTTTACCACTGTGATAAAATACTAAATGATTGTGTCAATAAACTGCAAAGATAATCTGCATGGTTTATCAGGTATAAGTACAGATCTAAAGCTTTTCCAACACTAATGCCAATTGAATTTTGCAAGAGCTACCCACATTTGCTTATTCCATTGAGATAGAAAAAAACATGGAAGTAGTTATGAGTAAATATGGGAAGACTTCTGATTAACAGGGGAGCTAATGTAGTCTTCATGTGCGGCAGTGAAAGTTTTACAGTTCCTTTCCTAAAATATATGGTTCGTAAGAGGTAGTTCAAAGCTTTGAAACATATGCTGTTATGTTACTGTCACCGTAATGTTCCTGTCACCATGTGTAACTAATGAACTTCGTTGATTTTCACATCATATGCATTACAAGCAATTTAAAGATAGATGTGTTCTAACTTGTCACATAAAATAAACATTATAAACCCAAAATCTAATTAAAGCTGTGCTATTAAAATTCTTGACAAGTGATTTCTAACAAAGTCAGTCAGTTGAGACGGAAACACATGTTTTAATTGATCTCTATTAATATAAAATATGATTGTAATATTCCTG